AGAGAGAGAAAGAAAGAGAGAGAGAGAGAGAGAGAGAGAGAGAGAGAGAGAGAGAGAGAGAGAGAGAGAGAGAGAGAGAGAGAGAGAGAGAGAGAGAGAGAGGAAGAAGATGAAGAGAGAGAGGAAGATAGATAGATAGGTAGATAGACAAAGGGAGAGAGAGAAAGAAAGAGAGAGAGAGAGAGAGAGAGAGAGAGAGAGAGAGAGAGAGAGAGAGAGAGAGAGAGAGAGAGAGAGAGAGAGAGAGAGAGGAAGAAGATAAAGAGAGAGAGGAAGATAGATAGATAGACAGAGAGAGAGAGAGAGAGAGAGAGAGAGAGAGAGAGAGAGAGAGAGAGAGAGAGAGAGAGAGAGAGAGAGAGAGAGGGAGGGAGGGAGGGAGAGAGAGAGAGAGAGAAACATCAAGCCATCCACCGATCTTCGATGCGTGATGACAGCGTGGGAGAATTTGTCAATTTACGTCTCCATTAACACTGCTCTCATTACCATACACTGAGGTCAAGATTGGTTTTGACTTTTCTGACCTTTGACCCAGCCTCCCCTGTCACTTGCGCTCGAGGTAGTTTTTCAAAAACCTCCTCAAGGTCTTTATCGTAAACACTGATGTTATGTAGACATAGTTTTGCCTCTGTGAGTGTGTTATTTAACCTGGTTCTATTCTTGTGCAACACACAGACAAACGAACACAAACGTGTCGTTATTATCTCTCCTTGTTGCTATTATTATCAGTATTATTAATGTTGTTGTTGTTGCTGATGTTACTGTCGATATTAATAATTATAATAATAATGATGATGAGTATTGTTGATATTATTGTTATTATTATCAGTATTATTGTTATTATTGTTGTTGTTGCTGTTTTGTTGTTCTCATTATTATTATCATTATTATTATTATTGTTGTTGTTGTTAACATTATTATTACAATGAATATTTTTTGTTGTAGTTGATGATGATGATGATGATGATGATGATTATCATCATCATCATCATCATCATTATCATCATCATCATCATCATCATCATCATCATCACGTTCATCATCGTCATAAATGAAATATGTATGTGGCAAAAGAAAAGCATTCGGAGAGAGTAGACGCAATGACCCCTTGGCATTCAGTTCCAATTATGTCCGAGGCTTTAATTGGGAACGTAACATCTGTTTTCCTTTCTCTTGTTTGACATCATAGAACGGGTAAACTAAGCCGATTGCTTATTTTCTATTTACGTCTCCCTGAGGTCAGTGAGAGTATGCTCTGGACAGTTCAGGCATTCAGTACGCCCTACTCTTTCAACGGAGAGAGTATGGGAAGTAAGGGAAGGAGCGCGGACGACCCATAAAAGTGATGATTGCTAGAACAGGTGGACAGCACGTGGTCTTTGTATTTGGGATTAGGTAAGTTCCCCCCTAACGAAGGGACCGCTCCGTTTTCTCTTTTACCTGTTTTCGCTACAGGGGGGACCATGACGTTTGTCAAGATTGCCGGATAATGCTACGTTATTTGCGTTTCATGTTAATCACTCGTTATTCATCACGGTTTTAAAGCAATTAGTGAAGACTATCTGACATGTTATGTAATTTACATATGTAATAAAACAGCTGATGTATTGTAAGGTTCCACCCAGTTCACCAAAACAGAGATAACCTTTTTTTTACACAACATTCCCTCACGCACTCACATAAACGCACTTTACCCAACTATAGAAAGTCACATGTCGAGGTTATGGAAACCCTACCATCCTTAGCATTATCGTGCATCTGGCCGCTAACCCCCTCCCGCCCCCCCCCCCCCCCTCATCATCCTAATTATCATATGATAGACTAATTAGCGCCTTGACTGTCCTTATGAGTTCGTGACCACTAATGGCGGAGATAATAGAGGTGTTTTTTTAATTAGTGATTCGTTCTTGATCTTTTTTTGTTTGTTTTAATATTTTGAGATGAATTTGAATGATTTGAAAGGACACACAAAAATTATAGATGTGTATATATATATATATAATTGTAATAAAAAACTTTAAAGAAGCGAGCTCGTGGGTCTGTTTCCTGATAAAACTGTACATTAAAAGATAAAATGTAAAAATAAAGTTTCCAATCATAAAGGTCCCGTCAAAAATCAAGAAAGTGGCAGGTGATGAGAGATTTACTTAGAAGTCCATCGAATGTCAGGTAATCCGAAGTAATTACGTTGTTTGTTTTCATGGATGTCGTAATAATGGACCCCCCCCCCTCCCGGTTATCTACCGCATGTCAGTCCCTTCCCCTCCCCCCCTCTCACGTCATCCCATTCCTTTCTATCTCCCCTTCGTGTGAACCCCTTCTCTTCCCTCCTCCCCCCTTCGAGTTATCTCCCCCCTCCCCCCTCCTCCCCCCACCATGTCATCTCCATCTACCGCATGTCAACCATTCCCCTCCCCCCCTCCACGCCACCACAATTCATTCCCTCCTCCCCCTGCCCCCCCTCCCCCTACCTTGACCTCTTCCTTTGTTCTACCTCTACATTTTTGTCTATTTTCGTAGTTTTTACCATGTCCTCTTTTTATTTGTATCTCTTCTTTGTTCACTTCATGTTCTTCCTTATATTCGCATTTTTTTTCAATTCTCTCCAAGTTCTTATATTCGCATTTTTTTCAATTCTCTCCAAGTTCTTATATTCGCATTTTTTTCAATTCTCTCCAAGTTCTTATATTCGCATTTTTTTTTCAATTCTCTCCAAGTTCTTATATTCGCATTTTTTTCAATTCTCTCCAAGTTCTTATATTCGCATTTTTAAAATGATCTTCTTTCTCCCCATTTAATCATATTTTTAATTCCTCTCCATTACTTTTTATTAGTATTTTTTTTTCTAGTTCCCTCCATGCCCTCCTTTTATCCATACTTCCTTTCACTCCGATTTTTTTACGCATGTTGTCATCTATACTTTCCTTTACTCCTTTTACTTTCCCACACTCCTCTCTATCTCCTTCCACTCCGATTAAGTACGTGTCCATTCATCCTCAGGTACAGGTAACAGACACAGGTACAATAAACAGATACAGGCACAGGTAGAAGTACAGTTACAGTCCCTACGAGTACCTGTAAGCTTCCCGACACGACCCTTCCTGCCATTAAGCGCAGTGTTTATCTTCGCTAACTGCTTCCAGTGGACTGTTTTTTTTTGTGCGTCGGTGTGTTTGCGGTCGTGCTCGTTTGTAGCGGCCATTTTTGCTTTCTGTTTTGGGGTAATTTTTAGTTTGTTGTCCCCTTTGTCTTTCTCTCTCGTGTCGCTTACTTCTTCTTCTTGTTTTCTTTTTGCGTGAGGAATCTGTGGGAAGTGTAAGAGTGAGAGGCACTCAGAGGACATGTATTGAGATATGGACAGATGTATACAGAGAAACGCAGACACGTGTACATGTGTACACGCACATACACACAGACACACACATAGACACACACACGCACGCGCACACGCACACGCCCACACACACGCACACCCACCCTCACCCCCACCCACCCACCCACCCGCATTCTTTTCGATAAAACTTAAACTCTCCTACTTACCGTTAGTTAATGAGTCACGCATGCAAATTAAGAAGATTGTGAAGTGTCTGCAACTACCGGTACAGCGTTTAAAGAAATTTACCTAAGGGTGAGAGAGAGGGAGAGGGAGAGGGAGAGGGAGGGGGAGGGGGAGAAAGAGAAAGACAGAAAGAGAGAAAGAAAGAGAGAACATGTGTTGTGTGGTAGAGGCATCAGCTTTTGAGTCTTGGGAGTGATAAAACGATAACCATTCCCCCTTCTCCCCCATCACGCCCATTCTTCTTCCCCTTCCTCTCCTTTACATTCTTTATCTCCTCCACTTCCCCTGTCTTCATCCCCTAGCCCTCTTTCCCCCCTATCTTCTACTCTCTCCTCTTCCCCATCCCCATTCACTCTCCCCTCCCCTATCCACTCAGTATCTCCCCTCTCCCCCATCTTCCCTTCTCTCTCCCCTTCCCGTTCCCCATCACTCTTCCCCTCTCCTCCCACTCTCACTTTTCCCTTCACTACGTCCTTTTCCCGTCCCTTCTTTAACTCTCTCACTCCCCATCCTCTCTCTCTCTCTCCCCATTTCTTCCCTCCCTCACTTTCCCTCCTTCTTCCCCCATCCCACTGTCCCCTTCCCCACGCCCCTCTCTTTCTCCCTTTACCCATCTCTTATTTCACTACCTCCTCCCTCCTCTCCTGTCTTTCTCCTCATCCCCTTCCCTTTTCCTTCAAGATCCATATAGAGAAAACAACAATCAAACGTCCGATGTGTTTGAACCCAGCTGAGAGGCGGCCAAGGCAATTGGATCTTTTTTACCATCGTGGAGGGCGAGATAGAATGCCATTGTTGTTGTTAGAATAGTGAAAGAAAACATTACGGAAACATTTTTTTTTTAAGTGAAGATTTCCTGTCACGGTTTGCTTGCGGCGGCGCGTTTGAGCTGCCATGATAAGGGAAAAAATAAAATGTGAAATCTCAACAAGAAAAACAAACAAATATTTTTGATTCAGTTCTGAGAGGTCTTCCACTGAAGGAGGAACGTTAACCCAGATATCACATGTCACATCCTGGAACATCAGTAAACAACGCCACGCCCGCACGCCCACTGATCTCGTCGTTAGCACTGCACTTGCTTTAAGCCAGGGCATTGTCTGCCAACGTTTCGTGCATTGTTTGAAATTCATCCGATGGTTTAGTTTCATTTGATTTTCATTACATTTGCTTTGTTATTTCTCAGTGTTAGAGAGGTGAAGAAAGGGAACTGAGGTAATAATTGTCGAATGAATACTTTATAAAAAAACATGGTTTGAATTTCTCTTTTTTCATCATCTAACGCTCCACCCCTGAACTTCATCTGAGATAGGAAAGAGCATTGACTCCAGATAATACCTGCTGCCACGAAGGTATATGTCAACTAAGCATTTGACGAGAATATATTTATTGAATTTCTTTGTGTGTGGATATACCTTTCAATATTATTTATTTTTTGCAGGCTCTCTGGCATCAGTTACCGTTCTCAACAAAAAGGCTGAGGTAATGTATACAATTTACTTGTAAGTTGATCCTTTTATGATATTTTATAGTATCTGTGACCCGCAAATCTGCCTGTCTTCGCGGGAAATACTTCTCCTTTTTATATATTTTTAAAGCTAGCGGTTGCGGGCCGGAATAAAATTCTAGTTGATTTGGATTTCTTGCAAGTGATAAGATATAAGAAGGAAGGGAATTGGGAGTAGGGAAGGTGGGTTGGGGAAAGAGGAGAGGGGAAATAGGGGATGGGGAGAACAAAGAGAGACAGAGACAGTGGGGAAGAAAATAACGAAAGGGAAGTGAAGAAAAATGAAACAAATGAGAATGAGGAGGGGAAATTGCAATAGAACTAAGAGGATTCGCACGAGAAGCAGACAGAGCGAGAACCGGGGAGACAAAGAGCGTCTACAGCACACAGTAGCCCGTGTAGGGAAGACGCGCGCCTGGCTCCTTGCCATGTCCCCTTTGCCGGTAGCTGTGCCCGCCTTGTATCACCGACTTCGGCCGTCTCTTTGGCGACGAGAGATTAGCCTGCTGTCATGTCCCGACGTCCATAACTACACCCCTGTGCGATAGATAGGCCTATGTGGGACTACTGAGCTAGAGAGAGTGAGAGAGTTAGAGAGAGAGAGTGAGAGAGAGAGAGAGAGAGTGAGAGAAAGAGAGAGAGAGTGAGAGAAAGAGAGAGAGAGTGAGAGAAAGAGAGAGAGACAGTGAGAGAGAGAGAGAGAGAGAGAGAGGGAGGGGGAGAGAGAGAGAGAGAGAGAGAGAGAGAGAGAGAGAGAGAGAGAGAGAGAGAGAGAGAGAGAGAGAGAGAGAGAGAGAGAGAGAGAGAGAGAGAGAGAGAGAGAGAGAGAGAGAGTAAGGAGGACTGCCGTGGCGTGAGTCGGACACAGGCGACGGGGTATGTAGAGCATCGCTGAAACCCCTGCTCACTTTTTACCACTCGGTCCCAGTGCCCGGAGCTCACTGCCAACACCGTACATGGCACACGCGCGAGGCTGACGTCCTAGTCGGGAAGATGTCAGATGTAGTTTGTTCCGCGTGACGTCGCGCGAAAGGCTGGGTTGTGTGGTGTCCCATTTCTGTAGGAATTTAGTAAAAGTAGTATGGCATTTATCATGTACCTTGTAAGTAGGAAGTTGAGAAAAAATGTATGACGATGAAAATAATTTTGAAATAAAATTGAAGAGAATGTTTTGTTAATAAAACATAAGAACATTTAATAGTACTTAGTACAGGTAAATCTCACGATATACATTTAAATGTCACTGTTAACAAAAACTTTGATCGTCATAGTCTCTGTGGTAGATAGCTTTGCCATACGGACTACACTGAAGAAATACATTAAAAAGAAAAGAAAGTGAATATTCAGATTTATATGTGTGAATTATTCAGATATCTGGAGACATTTCCCATTACTGCGCGTCATGACCCTTTCAAAACACGTCGAGAAAGAATGAAAAGGCAATTACTGTGCATTTCTTATAACGCAATGGGATCACGGTTTCTTTAACTGTAGGAGCAATTAGAGGATGAACATTTATGATAATTTCTTTTTTTAGTGACGGCGCGGTGATTTCGACGCTGAGAGAGATAATGAGCAAAGATTTTCGGAGGCGCCGCCTTGCTTTTGCGGCTTCGGGAACTTTTACCGTTTTCTTTATTTTCTTTATTTTTTCTATTTCATTCTTCGATGTTTTCTTTTTTTCTTTATTCTTTGTTTTACCGTTATTTTGTTTCTTTATCTTTTATTTTGATTTCTTTATTTTTCTTTATCGGTTTTCTTATCACTGCATTTTTTCTTTGCGAGGGTTATTTATATATTTATATTTATATATTTAGATTAAGGACTACTGACTACATATCACTATGTATATCTCTATACTGGCGTTTATAATCAACATGTAGATTCATATCCGAAGGTCTATTCCGTTAATTGTGTAATATTTGAGTTATTCAAATTACCCGCATTTAATCCAAAGTGGATTTCAAGAGCCGACTCTTGAGCAGAAATATCTGTGTATGTGTAATTAACCTCTGGCAGATAAGAATCTTCCAACTTTCACATTCCGGGCGAACTGTAATTCTTCAGAAATGAGATAATGTCCATTTGTCTTCATGTTAAAAAAAAAAATGTTATCGGATAGATTTCTGTGACTGTAATATTTTGAATGCATTTCGTGTAGTGTTTTCTAGTCGTTTTCTAGGACCGGCGCTGGGCTGAATGCAGACGCGCTTGCTCTCTCTTTTTGCCTTTGTGATTCTCTCTTCTCGTCTTTCTCTCTCTCTCTCTCTCTCTCTCTCTCTCTCTCTCTCTCTCTCTCTCTCTCTCTCTCTCTCTCTCTCTCTCTCTCTCTCTCTCTCTCTCTCTCTCTCTCTCTCTCTCTATCTCTCTCTCTCTCTCTCTCTCCCTCCCTCCCTCTCTTCCTCCCTCCCTCCTCATCTTTCTCTCTCTCTATCCCTGTCTGTCTATTTGTCCATCTATCTATATGTGTCGTTTCTACTTGTCTCTCTCTGTCGCCCTACCCTCTCTCTTTCTCTCTCTCTCTCTCTCCTCCATCTCTCCCTATCTCTCTCCCTCTGTCTCTCCCTATCTTTCTCTCTCTCTCCCTATCTCTCCTTCCTCCTTCTGTCTCTCCCTATCACTCCAACTCAGTCATCACAACCAGGAAGAGATTATACGACCATAGCGCTTGTAATCCTCACAGAACACCAAACTTTATTCACACTAATGGTTATTAATCATCGTGTTCCTTATGCAAGTCACGTCTGGCCCAGGTTTCTAGTATTCTAAATGAGGTTCCCGAAGCTGCCAGCAGAGGGCAGGAGTCACATGGAAACGCCCACTTGTGTTGTTATGGTCGGTTAGTCCGTCAGAACCAGTGACAGGAGATAAGGGAGAGATAAAGTTTAGTGTGGGGGGTATAATTGCTAGAAAGTTGGTTTTAACGTAAATGTGGAACGTCTAATTGTTCAATATTTCTAAATACGTAGTTGTATTATGGGAAATTTGATGAATATGCAAGGCGTTGCTCTTGGAATGGTTCATATGGCGCCTCCCAGAATGAAGGTTGTAAACAAATGACTGCTACCCGCCCTTTCTCTTGACATGTTGTGATATATGATGTTTTTGTCTTCGAACCGAGATAGGGATTTAGCACTGGACGCTCCCTGTGCATTTATAGCATTAATGCCACCATATTTCAAGCGGTGATATGATGAAACCCATTCGTTATAACGCCCATGCATGATTAAACGCAGCCAAATGGGGGTTCGTAAAATGCTCAGGAGGAAAAAGTTATGGACAGAAAAGGATAGAGTTCCCCATTTACTTCCTCTTTGGGTCTGGCGCTTATCCGGAATGGTAGGCGGAGGTCAAGTTACTTTCTTTCTCGAATACTGCACTCGTGTTCGTGGGTTTTAACGGGTTCGTATTATGGGCCAAGTGAGTGAAAGCTGTTTGGCTGGAGTGCGATCAGCTTTCGTCTTTTTTTTATTATTCCTTTAGGGTTAGAAAGGAAAGAAAAAGAAACGAACAGATATCCATCTTGAGCTCTTTAAATATGCACTTGGTCAGTGTGTGCGTGAATGTACCTTCGCCGCACGTAGATGGCTAGTCAATGTCACGGTGTGTGGGAGGAGGAGGGGGGGGGAGGAGAAGGAGAAGGCGAAGGCGAAGGAGAAAGAGAAGTAGAAGGAGAACAAGAAGAACGAGAAGAAGGTAGGAGAAGGGAAGTATCATGACGATAAGGATAACAATAATAATAATGATAATGGAAATAGCAATGATAATGATAAGGGAAATAGCAATGATAATGATGATAATGAAGACGATGAAGAATAAATACAACTAGAAGTAGAAGACGATCAAGAAGAAGAAGAAGAAGAAGAAGAAGAAGAAGAAGAACGGACCAAAGGACGAGAGTGCCGTCTCCTGCTCTCCCTTCGGCCTTGAACCTCGTGACCTACATCTGGCGGCGTGTCCAGGCGGGGCCAGGGAGCCCCAAGGGCCCAGGGCAGGCCATCCCAGGGCGGGGCCAGTGTCCACGTCGCCGAACCTGTCCGCTGCATCCAGGGGCTGTTGCAAGGCCGAGGGGTCGTTCATGCAGAAGGACCGCGTGGCGTTTGCTTCGCTTTGGTTGCAAGTCTTGGTCTCGAGGTTATTTTGAATCTGAGATTTTTAGTATTATGGGATGGAATACTGAGTGTAGGATATGTATATATGTGTGTATATATGCACAGTATGTATATGTGTGTGTATGTGTATATGTGTATGTATGTATGCATCTATCTATCTATCTATCTATATGTAATTATATATATATATAAAATCATATATATATGTGTGTGTGTGTGTGTGTGTGTATGTATGTATGTATGTGTGTGTGTGTGTGTGTGTGTGTGTGTGTGTGTGTGTGTGTATGTGTGTGTGTGTGGAGTAAATATGTATATCTATGTGTATGTATAATAGATGCTGGAGAGAAACAGTAGAAAACAAATAACAGAATTTGTGGAACAATTTTAGAAAGGTTAGCCCTATGAATCGACAAAAGAAAACGTATAGAATTGGGTGGATTCGCTCAAAGAAAACGGAAGCATATACTATTATATTTTCACAAATACGTTCCTTTGTTAAAATGATAAAGTTCTTTGAAAATGCATCTAACTTTAGCAACTTGTATGTAGCAGACATCAAATCAGATCATCAATTTTTTTTTCATTTTTATGTTACACATGAGCGCAATTTGATAATAATAAAAAAAAAAAAAAAAAAAAAAAAAAAAAATATATATATATATATATATATATATATATATATATATATATATCTGTGTGTGTGTGTGTGTGTGTGTGTGTGTGTGTGTGTGTGTCTGTGTCTGTGTCTGTGTCTGTGTCTGTGTCTGTGTCTGTGTCTGTGTCTGTGTCTGTGTGTGTGTGTGTGTGTGTGTGTGTGTGTGTGTGTGTGTGTGTGTGTGTGTGTGTGTATGTGTGTGTGTCTG